TATATATATATATATATACCTGCCATGGTTTGATATCCTTTTTATCAGCACAAAATTTGTTTGTGAAACGCCTTCCATCAGGTTTGCAAAACAGTAGGTTATGAAGAGCATGAACAATGGCATAGAGAGCATTGTGGGCCATATATACAGCTTGTGATGTCGGGTCATTGAATTCTGTGGCATCATCAGTTACTATCCTTTCTAAACCTGTACATGTCTTGTTGCTGTCATACAATTTTATTATACTATTATTCCAAATATCAGCAGTCCCTTTACACTTGAACAAAGTCTCCCAGAACTGCCAGATGGACAACATCCTCGGATAGGTGGATGGAAGAATAGTTTGGAGGAAGCTGGAGAAATTCGGGATAATTTTTCTGCTCTTGGCAATCCCTATTGAGCCATTAAGTAACTTCCAGAACTTGTTATACTGTGTCAAAGGTGTGGTGTACCAAGATTCTATTCCAACCCATATTTTCCCTGTGAGGTCTTGCTGAAGGACTCCCAAAAAGATCATGCTAACATCTGCAGGAGAACAATAAAGAACAATTGCCCTTGCTGTTGATCTGTGGATATTTGCTACTAAGACTGCCATTCTTTTATCAGTGAGACCAAAGGAGATGGTTTCAAAAAATGAAATACAAATCCCATTTCTGGCAGCATTTTTTTGAAAGGCCATAGCTCCTTGGAGACAATAGTCTATTGAGGAAACAACCACCCCTACCCAGGTCCACCCTAATTTTTTGAACACTTCTATTAAAGCTTGTGGTTGCCTTCCAGCACTAATTGTGGTTCTTAAAAATGAAGGGAACTCCAGTTTGTTGCTCAAAGATGGGTGTGAAGCAATATAGCTCACCTGCAGATACATAAAGAATAATATTCATTAAAGAAGATTAAAGAGAATAAAAAAAAACTAATTTCAGTCAAATTTGAAAGATTAGCAAGGAAATACATACATGGGATACAAACTTTAAACTACCAAAAAAACATTGTCATCATAAAATATAATAAAGGGAATTTATCAAAACTGGAGCAGGCAAATTTTAAAGCAATCGCCCAAAGCAACCAATCAGCTTATCTATTCAGCTTGTTCAGTTAAGCTTTGAAAATGAATAATAGAAGCTGAGGGCTGCTCCAGATATTGTCTTCTCCAGTTTTAATAAATCCCCCCAATGTAGTAATGTGTCATTGAATCAAGTCTGAATCACAAGGTTGTTATTACTCCTATAGGGTGAGTAGTTAGAGAGACATGCAAACCAAGCCTTTATGTCCTTTTTGGCAAAGCTGGCATCAAGAAACACAGGCTGAGTGAGCAGCTCCAGCCTCATATATGTAGACATTTATTTACCTTGCATGAAGTTATTTCACAAGTGTTAGCTCTCATCGGGGGAAGTTATGGAAAGTTATGGCTTTTGGGAAGAAAGCCCTGTAGAGTAATGACAGTATGATTTTTTTCCATTGCTTCCCAGCCCCCTGTAAAACTCAGCCATCAGAATTCTGAGTGTATTAAAAAGAGTTAAATTCAGTGAGGATGGACAGGGTGCTGAGATAAATTCCAAGAAGAACCTATATTACTGTCACACATGCAAAGTATGTGCTTTGGAAGGTAAGTAAGCAGGTAAACAGTATATTTTGTGACTCATTAAATAATAATGATTATTATTTAATTTTCTAGGATTATCCTGGAATTTACCATTCAGTGACTTTTGAGCAGAAATGTATGATAAAACTTTTACATATTGGTTTAAGGTCCTTCTGCTTACTTGAGGTAGCCTCCAGAGACCCAGCAGTCTTGCGAGTGCCAGTGAGGAAGATGATATATCGCCAATAACAGCTGGGACAATAGGCTGCGGCCCACAGTGGTAATTTGGAATCCAGTTTCTCCTCCCTGATGTCACCTGAATAGTAGCCTGAAGGGAAGTGGCTTCAAAGAAACATGAATCATACATCTGGAACCCCAGTGTGATGTTTGGCAGGAGATCTGGATTGTCATTCACTTCTTTTGTGGCGAAGAGTAAAGCCAGGATTGACTTATACAGCTCTGAAATGAACCTGAGGAAGGGGGTCAAAAATGTTCAGTAGTTAATTGTTCTAAATCAATTCTAAATAGTCTGTTCTGATCTTCTAAATATTTATTTTCAGTCTGGATAAGGGTTTTTGTAAAGGGCATTTGTTTGCAAATTAACAGTTTTTTCTTCTGCAGACAAAGCAACAGGAATTCAAAAGCAGCTCAAAATAGCTTGAAGCAGCTGAGATGGAGTTGAGAAGCCTCTCTTTTAGAAATCTAAAATGCAAGCCGAATGTACCTGAATGTGTGCTGTATGTGCCCATCTGCACAAGACCTAATTTACTGTAGCCACCATCCACAGCCCTTTAGAATGCTCTGTCTGCAGGAGCTTAGGGAAATCATGTAAAAACCCTGCTCAGTCCCTCCTATTCCTTTCAACAGAGTGCAGGAGAAACTCAACTTCCCAGATTCACTTACCATTACAAAAGAGGTAAATTACAGTTCTTTTAAGACCTTTAACATGCCAATTTGCCTTTAAAATTACTGTCTCTAAAAGGAAAAAAACTAGAGGCTTTAAATGGACTTCAACTTTACAAAAGGTAACAAATGCTCTGGTCATCATCCTTCCCAACCTTTTCATGTAAAAAAAAACCTAGTAGCCCTCATGAAAAAAGCAGGACCACCTTATTCATGCATTTTCCGGGTTATTCACTTATGAGAGAGGAGAAGTGAACAATCTAGGCCAAAATAGCTGATTTAACTTTCCAGTTCAACTATGTTGTCCAAGATTGTTCACTTCTCCTGCCTTCTCCAAATGCTTCACCCTTTAGTGAATAGACATGTTTATTTTAAAGCTGTAAATGTGCTCAACTATTTCATCACGAGACAGCAGCAAACTGTTGTCTGTAGATTACCAACAGTTCTTGGACTGGTGGTTAAACATTACCTAGACCATCTCCTTCAACCAAGTAATAGTATTGTGATAATTATAATATATATTATATTATTATAATGTATTATAATTACAGTGGGTTGCCATTACGTTTACGACTACCTAACACTTGACCAGTATAACTTACAGGTCACATGACCGTGGAGCAGGGCGACTTGAGAAGGTAAACACTGTCTGAGTTAAAGTGGCACGGATTGGATTGATCATCCCCAGAGTGATGTCCCCTTCCTCAGTGTAATCTGCCAGAAGGGACTTGGAGAGAAGACATCTGGATGCCAGCGATCTAATATAGCACAGGGGAAGAATTACAATGCCCAGCTGGATGCAGAACCTCATTTTAACCTGCAGAGTTAAAAGGCCAGTTAATACCATTTTTACTTTTCTGTATATTAAACAATTTTAACAACATTTACATAAGAATATAAAGAAGCCTTAAAAACCTAGTAGAATCTAAGTAGGCTAAGCATAGTCTAGCTTTTACAAATCAGTAATAAATGCACACACATTAATAAAATCTAAAAAACATGCATTTATTATTTTTTTTGCAGTTGAGCCTGCAAAGCATTGCAACCATGATCAGTGTGGGGAACGGAATCATATTCATGTTATACCTTTAATATATGGGTATAAAATATATTTTCCAGTACAAAGGTGACCTAATGTTCAGTAATCCATTAAAGATAAAATACATTTGTAAGCCACCTAAAATAGCTGCAAAGATTGAACAATAGTCTACATGGTAAAGCTAAACACACTGACAGAGGTATTCATTTCTGCAATGATATTGTAAATATTGGTTTTGTCTATATAACACAATAAACGAATTCTAGATTAACTGTGCACTTCCATTTTTTTTGCTTAACCTAAAGTTCACCATCTGCATATAGTTACATTATTATAAATGAAAAATTCAGGTCACCATAACACTCAACAAAAATGTAATGCAGATTTTACAGCTGCTGGATACAATCATTTATTACGCACCTTGGAAATGCTACATATTAGGATTAAGCAGCAAACCCTCATTTGCGTTCCTAGCCATAGTTTTATATATGTTGAGCATTAGCACCTGCTTGGTATAAATTCATGTTTAATCATGTACTGGCCCATATGGCTGCCAAATACTAAACTGTATACAGTACCTGGGACGATAGTTCACAATTTGCTGTGTTATTGCAAATTGTGAACACATCAAATACTAATTTGATTTAGTTTATTTTGTTTGTGTATGCACTTTGTAGGTTATTAATTGATAAACAAAAACTATGCATTTCATTACTTTTGAAAGCATCCTCACTGTAATAGAGAGGGAGAAAGAGAGAGAAAACGATGATGATGATGATAGGGGTCGATTTTCTAAAGGCAAAGGGACTTTGCAATTTGAACTTTGCAGGAGGCATTTCTCCAAGCTTGGTGAATGTGGTGAAATTTCACATTACAAAGAATACCCAATCACATGCAAGGAACATAAAAAACAGTACTTTTGCCTGCACATGAGTAGATGATGAAAGCCAGCAAATCTTCGTAAAATTCATCAAACTAAGGGGAAACTTCTCCTGCAAATTGCAAATTCGCTTAAAAAGTGAACAGTCTGTTTGCCCTTAGTAAATCAAATCAATAAATAGATAAAAAGATTCCCTAATGACAGACCAGTAGAGTCTCCAAAAGACATAAAATGCTGGTGGATGATTTATCCCACCAAGGCTGTCCCTTCCAAAGCTGAATATTTTAGGCTGGAGTAGACTAGACAAAGAGAAAAAAACACTTGCCTTTTTGAAAGCATGGATGGTAATGCTGTCTTGTGGAGCACTGTCCAGGGTTCTGATAGATACCTAAATTTATATTTTTAGTCTGGTCAGTAGGGAGAGCCATTCTTGTGTCACATGGGAATTTCCTCCAGCATTTACTATTGTATCACCTACTAATTAATCTAGTGATTATAACTTCCCTACCATATATTTAAGTGTGATCATAATAATCTCTGCATTAAAATTGTGCCATGCAAAATAATTATGGGAAAGTTCATACACAGTGAACTCTGATTGCTGGTGATGCAGACAAACAATTTGCACATGAAGCAGAGTATTAGGGCTGTATCTGATGCTCAGCACTAAAAGACATTGGCAACTATGATAACTTATGATTAATCATAATTTTTTTTTAAATACAATCCTTAGTGTTATCTAAGAATATGTTAATGTATCTTATTGTGCCCTCACTAGAGTCATTGCACTCTCAGAAAGTTAATGGATAGAGGTTTGGCCTATTTACAGCCCACAACACACTACCTACACAGCACAGAGTATTCTGCTCACATGGCACAAAACCCATAGCACCCATGGCAGAAAGCACACACTGCACAAATCAAACACATCACACTGCCTACACTGCACACACAACAAAGGGCAAACAAAAAACACAGTCCAAACTACACAGGGTACAAAGCACATACTGCACTGCACAGAACACACACACACACACACACACACACACATATATATATATATATTAAACCACCCGAACTCTGGGTAGATGACTTTCCCAGTCTGTACTAAGAATGACCACATCGTCTAGGTAGGCAACTGCATACTTTTGGTGTGGCTGAAGGATTTCATCCATAGCCCTTTGAAAGGTTGTATGGTCCCCTTGCAAGCCAAATGACATGTAGTAAATCTGCCAGAGATACCCCCCCCCCCTGGAGGGGCAAAAGCAGTCTTT